CGTGTGTGCATGCGTGTGTGCATGCGTGTGTGCATGCGTGTGTGCATGCGTGTGTGCATGCGTGTGTGCATGCGTGTGTGCATGCGTGTGTGCATGCATGTGTGCATGCATGTGTGCATGCATGTGTGCATGCATGTGTGCATGCATGTGTGCATGCATGTGTGCATGCATGTGTGCATGCATGTGTGCATGCGTGAGTGCAAGAAAACGTTTGCATCAGCACGGGTGTGCAGTGGGTCACACCAAAGTCGTTTCTACATTAGTATCTCCCAACAAGTGAGCGAGGGCACATGCGTGCGTGCATGAGTGCATGCGGAAACAGAACTGTACGAGCGCGTGTGTAAATGAGTGTGTGCATGCATGTGTGCGTGGGTACTCTCGCCATAGTGAGTCGCTTCAGCGATCGACGGTCGTATTCTTAAACATGTGAGTGAGGGCATCTGAGCACAGACAGGCATCTGAGCACAAACAGAGTATGGAAAGGCACAAGTGCGTGTGTGTTTATTATACATGTGCGCATGTCACAACTCTCTCCCCATACCGAGTCGTTTCTGAAGTCATATTCTTCAAGCATGGGGTAGTTGAGGGCGTTGGGGAGGCACCGCTGCTTCACACACTCCACCTGGGCAGGAAAGAAAAGAGATGGAAACAAAGGAAGAAAGGAAGAAATAAAGAAAGAAAGAAAGAAAGAAAGAAGGAAAGAAAGAAGGAAAGGAAAGAAAGAAAGAAAGAAGAGAGAAAGAAAGAAAGAAAGAAAGAAAAAGAAGAAAGAAAGAAATGTAAAATGCGTACACTACACAGAGGGGTACGATGGGCAGCACAGCACACCTGGCCCAGCGCACCTGGGAGGGGTCGATTTCAAAGGTGTGAAACTCCCCATCGTCCCCACCGCCACCCACGCCCCCCCCCACGCCCTCCACATCAAGAAACGAGCGAGACGCAAGGACCCATATAGCCCACACACACACCTGCCACAGCACACCTGCCACAGCACACCTGACACAGCGCACCGGAGAGGGGTCGATCTCTAAGGAGTGAAACTCCCCATCCCCCCCTCCCCCGCCCACACGGGCGGGAGGTAAGAGACCTATAACCCACCTGACCCAGCGCACCACCTGACAATCCTCAGCACACCTGAGAGGGGTCGATTTCAAAGGAGTGAAACTCCCCGTCGTCCCCTCCCCCGCCCACGTCTCCCCCCACGCCGTCCCCCGCCCCTATGAGCGCATGTGTGAGCGCTGCTGCTGACCCGTCCGCTGCCCCCCCCTGCTGCACTGCAAAGGCGTCCCCTGCTGGCCCCTGCTATGAAGAAACACGGGCATAGAGGAAGGAGAGAAACACATGGGGCGCATTGAAACACGAGTCGAGATGCGCCCGCCCCCATGAGCTGAGTGCATTCGTGAGCGCTGCTGTCCAACTGGCGTGAGCGCTGCTGTCCACCCGTCAACTGATCCCCCCCCAGCTGCACTGCAAACGTGTCCCCTGGCGCCCCCGTCCCAATTAAGCGCACATGCCACCACAGGATTCAACATGCCATTTGTATTGGGGATGAAATATCTAACTGAACAAGGTCTAGGAACAGATTTCCGAGACAATCGAAGAGGCATAGATAGAGCACACACACACAAGCACTAGGGGACACTGGAAGTTAGTAGGGCTGGCAAACGTCACACACTGCACACAGAACACACTACCAGCGCACACACAATGCAACCGAGTATTGTGCATCGCAAAACACGCGCTCAGTGCAATCACACGCGCTCGTCGCAATCACATCATCCCATAATGCAAGTACACATAGACACTTGCCTGCGCATTGACGGGCGGCAAGATTCTGGCTCGGCGAATCACATCATCTCTCAGCAACTCCCGAAGCACCTGCAAGAGCGATGATGTGAGAAACAGAGCACATGAACGGAGAGAGAGAGCCCATCAGGGGACACGCACATCAAAGAAAAGAAAATAAAAATAATGCAGGCAGGCAACAGGTGAAGTATGAATCGAAAAGCATCCATATACATGCAGGCGGGCTGCAGTGGCTTTGCAGAGCAACAAACCGGCTCTGCACGGGGTCATCCATATAGCAATCCGGTTTGTAATATACACGAGTGATGGTAATAGACAGATGATAAGGGGCTCGGGGACTCACAATGGGGTATGGTATGGAGACTCAACGCAATAGTTGTTGTTCCACTGCAGAACGAGCTTCACTTTCCCATAGTTCTGCGTGGATTCACAAGTTTGGTCTTGCCTTGCCTGAGGCGACTCACCTGGGGACAAGGTGACATCTCATTTGACCTTGCCTTGCCTGAGGCGACTCTCATTTTGGTACAAAGACTCACGTTGGGGTAGGGTGATTCGACAAAGTATCTGTTGCGCTGCAGCACCAGCTTCACTTTGCCGTAGTTCTGAGTTGACTCGCGGATGAAGGTGATGATGTCCGCTGACAGCTTGGTCTTGGATAGACGGTCGAGAACAGAGATAATGGTGTTGGTGTCTAGACCCACAGACACGGCGGCATACAGGGAGTGCGGCGTGAGATTGTACTCATGTACGTTCTCTGGGCTGTGGGTAGGTGGGGACGAGAGGAGTCGAGGGAATGGCGGGGGGGGAGGGGAACGGAAGGGAGGGAAGGAAAGTGCTGCTGTGATTGACAGCAGATGAAGGTGATGATGTTGGCTAAGAGCTTGGTGTTGGAGAGACGATCGAGCACAGAGATGTCGGAGGTGTCTAGACCCACGGAACGGCGGCATACAGGGAGTGCGGCGTGAGATTGTACTCATGTACGTTCTCTGGGCGGGGGGAGGGGAGGGAAGTACACAGGCTCGGCAATGGCGATACGAAAGTCATAGGCGTGCTTGTAGGGCAACGAGTAGTGGGCCTCCAGGATGATGCGACCGTCAGGGCACACCCACATGGGTCGCTGTGCGTGGTAGAGAGAGACACACTGCCATGACATGCCATTCCCCCACAACCGCAAGGAGCAAGAAGGGTTCCCACTCACCGGCAAACATGGTCAGCAATGGCGATCAGAAAGTCGTACGCGTGCTTGCAGAGAGGCGAGTAGGTCTCGAGAATGATGCGTGCTGAGTGGTGGAGAGGGACAAGACACACACTGTCATAAGACCAAGAACATTTTCCAGCATTAGGAAAGGGAACACTCACCAGCACACAGGCTCGGCAATGTCGATAAGAAAGCCGTAGGCGTGCTTGTAGAGGGGCGAGTAGGTCTCGAGGATGATCCGGCCGTCAGGGCACACCCACATGGGTCGCTGCGAGTGGAAAGAGAGAGACACACTCACATGACATGACATGCCATGCCCCCACGACTGGAAGGAGCAGAAAGGGCTCCCACTTACCGGCACACAGGCTCAGCAATGGCGATTAGGAAGTCATAAGCGTGCTTGTAGAGGGGCGAGTAGGTCTCGAGGATGATCCGGCCGTCAGGGCACACCCACATGGGTCGCTGCGAGTGGTCCTCCTTCAGCTGCATCTTGGAAAAGTCACGCAGGGCGTGACCCTCCTCTGACGTGCCCTCGCCTGCCGCTGGTGGTGTTGAAAAAGGAGTTGAGTCGGGGAAAAGGATGAGAGTATGGTAAGTTAGACGTGCGTGCACCCAACTACCCACGCACACCCACATGGGTCGCTGCGAGTGGTCCTCCTTGAGATGCGTCTTGGAGAAGTCGCGCAGGGCGTGACCCACTTCAGAGGTTCCTTCCCCTGCCGCTGGTGGTGGGGAGCAGCGGGATTGAGGGGACGAGAGGAGGTGGCAAAGGAGAAGTTGGGAGAGGGAAGAGGGAGAGGGGGGGGGGGAGAGGGAAGGGGGGGGGGGGGGGGGGGGGGGGGGGGAAGGGGAAGGCGGGGAGAGGGACGAGGAAGAGGGGAGTTAGAAAGGAGGCTTTAGAATCTTGAAAAATCTTGAAGGCAGCTTCAAAATTACAGTCCAAGAATCGCCATTTTGGTGACCTCGGCCCTATGGCCTCTCCGAAAATAAGATACCTTAGCCCTTGGCCATTCTGCTGCTTCTGCTTTTCCATCCATCCGATTCAGTCAACTCTACCGTCGCACCCACCCCGCTAGCTACTGTCGTCGCCATCCTCTACTCTCTACTGTCGTAACGAGTGGTCCTGTCCTGTCGCTACTTGCCGTTCTTCATCGCCATATCGTCGCAGATTCAGGCCGCTGATTCGCACTGTACCGCCGTGCCCGTTCTCGCCGCTAATTCGCACTATACCGCCGTGCTCGTTCCTCACCGCTGATTCGCTGCGCGCGCAGCTCGTCATCCTCGTCGAGCACCAGAAAGTCGTCTTCGTCAACGTCAATGTCAGCACCGCCATCCATCGCTCGTTTCCGTCAAACTCTCGTCAAACTTTCGCAGCTTCAGACTCGCAAACTGTGCTTCTCAAAACGACCTGGCAAGACGACAGTAAATCACAACGCCGAGCGCCGAGCGCCGAGCGCTCCGTAACATAGGCGGAGCGGGAAGAGCGTTGATTCACGGTATTCCGTCAGCAAACGGCAATGGCTTGAGAGGCAAGGCATTTCTTGTTTTAGCGTGCTGAATCTCGTTATTGAAACCTGCGCTTTTAGCCATGTAAAAGGAGATGGGTTTTGTAATTGATTCACTAAGTATTGTCATGAATAATTATACTCCGTATAGGAAAACATCACATTCGTCCACTAGGTATCAAATAATCACTTTAGGTACTGAACTTTCAACGGCTCCGTAAACTGGACCCGTCTTTAGCCTGTATAGCCTAGTCGTTCCATCGGTAATGTTTTCTGCTGTGTTTCTTGACTGGCCCAAATCACGGAAGCTGAGAAGAATGGTTCAGTTGAAACCTCGCTAATGGCGATCCAATCGCTACTTCCCCTTACACATCCTCTGTTTGGACCCTGAACGCCTCATCCCTTAGAGCCTCATCATGGCTCGTGTGTCCGGGCTCATCCTCGTTATAGCGTTCTCCACATCCTTTTTCGCGGCTTTTAATTTCGTTACGATGCTTCTAGACAATTCTCCTGCCGTGGTCTCTCACCGTCGATCCCTCAGTCACCCCCTTAGTGAAAGTTCTTCGACTAACGCAAATCAGGTTTCCGTTACGCGTCAGGCCCGCGCCGGCAAACCCGACGGACGTAGCTCCGCGTCACAGTCAGAATTGCCTGTCATCAGCCGGCCAGCCGACACGGCGAACGGCAAGCGGTCAATCCGGCGAAACGGGCCGCTGCGACCGTTCCACGCGGCGATGACGTGCGACAGCTCGGGTTACAGCAAGTGGCAGTCGCGAGTCATGTATTTTTATTACAAGAAATGGCAGCGCGAACCGGGCGGGGAGGAGATGGGCGGATTTACTCGCGTGCTGCACACGGGGAAGGAAGACGAGCTTGTGGAGGAAATCCCGACCTTCGTCGTCAACCCGCTGCCGCCGCAACAACAAACGGTGCCACGGGGTAACGGGGATGGATGCATGCATGAGTGGGTGGGTGGGTGGATTGATTAATAGGCGAATTGATTGTGCAGAGGAGATTACAGATAATTATGTTGGCCTGGTCAATGGTTGGCGCGGGAGAGAGGGTGCAGTGGGTGGGGTCGAGGGTATCAATAAGTGTATTGCTCGAATAATTCTGGTCTTGAGCAGGTGCCATTCAGATGTAATTCGAAAATAATTTTCATACTTACGTCCTCCTATCCCTTGCCCACGTTACATGGCATGGCAGGACTATGTTGTTTTGAATCGCCCATATGCATTCGTGCAGTGGATTCAACAAGCAACCTTCCCTGAAGAGTACGCTCCACATGCCATCGCATGCCATGCCATCACGTGCCATCACGTGCCATCACATGCCATCACGTGCCATGTCATCACGTGCCATGCCATCACATGTCAAAGCACATTCCATCGCATGCCATTCCATCATATGCTATCATATGCTATGCCATCACATGCCATCACATGTCATGCTATGCCATCATATGCCATCGCATGTCACCGCATGTCACTGCATGTTACCTCATTTGGTTACCTCTCCCCCAAAACGCATCCCTCGCCCCCAAAACGCATCCCTTGCCCCTTCCCCCACTCACCCGTACACCACTCACCCCTTTCCCTGCTCATCCCTTCCCCCGTTCACCCCTCCCCCCCCTTACTCCTCTCCTTGAATCATCCCTTTACCCCCTCTCGCAGATTGAGTGACCTTTTTGCATGCCCGTTTCCTCTCTTTCATCCCCCTCTTCCTCCCTCCCTTTTCCCCTTCCTTCCTACCCCGCTTTCCCCCTCGCTTCCTCCCCCTCTTCCCGCCCCTCATTCCTCCCCCGCCTCCCCTCATTCACAGCTACGAATGAGCCAGGCCATTTGATTCTGCGCCCCAATCCCAACCTCTCAGTGGGTGACATGCCCTCCGCGTTTCCTGTCCCCTCTCCCCGCGCCATGCTCGCCATGCTGCCTCCCCCCTCACAGCTTCGTATGGATGGTGGCGGAACCGGACCATCTCATCCTGCGCCCCATCCCCAACCTCTTAGTAGGCGACATGCCATCCGCCTTCCCCGTCCCCTCTCCGCCTTCCCCGTCACCTCTCCGCCTGCTTCCCCCTTCCCCCTCACAGCTACGTATGGATGGCGGAGCCAGACCATTTGATTCTGCGCCCCATCCCCAACCTCTCAGTGGGGGACATGCCCTCCGCCTTCCCCTTCCATTATATTGAACCTGCCAAAAATAAAGGTACGTCTGAGGGGACACTGTTTACCCTATCCCGTCCGACACCATACTTCCAAACCCCATCAGGCACCAATAACAATATCAACGCTCTATTTTTTAGTCAACTCAAAAATAGACAAGATCAACGCTCTGGTTCGCACGAACACGTTCGTCCTCATGTGTTTTCTCCCGTCCCATCCCACCCCCACACCTACTACCACCACCACCACCATCAGAGGCGCTGCACCGCTGTTTCCGTCCAGAGTGAGGCCCCATCAATAAAATCGATTCCCAAATGCATCTGCATGCGATGCGACTGTCCTCGTGTGTTTCTCCCATCCCATCTCACCCCCACATTTAATGCCACCACCACCAGAGGCACTGCACCGCTGGTTCCCTCCAGAGAAGGGCCCCATTAACAAGATTGACCCCATCGGCAACTCCCCTGTCATCATCCACAAGGTACCCTGCTTGCCTCTCGCCCCATGCATAGTCCTGTCCCGCCTTGCCTCATGCATAGTCCTGTCCCGCCTTGCCCCATGCATAGTCCTGTCCCGCCTTGCCTCATGCATAGTCCTGTCCCGCCTTGCCCCATGCATAGTCCTGTCCCGCCTTGCCCCATGCATAGTCCTGTCCCGCCTTGCCCCATGCATAGTCCTGTCCCGCCTTGCCCCATGCATAGTCCTGTCCCGCCTTGCCCCATGCATAGTCCTGTCCCGCCTTGCTCCATGCATAGTCCTGTCCCGCCTTGCCCCATGCATAGTCCTGTCCCGCCTTGCCCCATGCATAGTCCTGTCCCGCCTTGCCCCATGCATAGTCCTGTCCCGCCTTGCCCCATGCATAGTCCTGTCCCGCCTTGCCCCATGCATAGTCCTGTCCCGCCTTGCTCCATGCATAGTCCTGTCCCGCCTTGCCCCATGCATAGTCCTGTCCCGCCTTGCCCCATGCATAGTTCTGTCCCGCCTTGCCCCATGCATAGTCCTGTCCCGCCTTGCCCCATGCATAGTCCTGTCCCGCCTTGCCCCATGCATAGTCCTGTCCCGCCTTGCCCCATGCATAGTCCTGTCCCGCCTTGCCCCATGCATAGTCCTGTCCCGCCTTGCCCCATGCATAGTCCTGTCCCGCCTTGCCCCATGCATAGTCCTGTCCCGCCTTGCCCCATGCATAGTCCTGTCCCGCCTTGCCCCATGCATAGTCCTGTCCCGCCTTGCCCCATGCATAGTCCTGTCCCGCCTTGCCCCATGCATAGTCCTGTCCCGCCTTGCCCCATGCATAGTCCTGTCCCGCCTTGCCCCATGCATAGTCCTGTCCCGCCTTGCCCCATGCATAGTCCTGTCCTGCCTTGCCCCATGCATAGTCCTGTCCCGCCTTGCCCCATGCATAGTCCTGTCCCGCCTTGCCCCATGCATAGTCCTGTCCCGCCCTGCCGTGGACGGACTAGTCATTGTCAGTTGTGCTGCTCTTCCTTTTAAAATTTCATTCTTAAAAGTGTCCCTTTTGAAAAAATGCTCGGAACTCCCTCCCCTTCCCTGTCGTCATCATCCACAAGGTGCCTTGCTTCTTGCCCCATGCACTGTCCCATCCTGCCTTGCTTCTTGCCCCATGCATAGTCCTGTCCTGCCTTGCCCCATGCATAGTCCTGTCCCGCCTTGCCCCATGCATAGTCCTGTCCCGCCTTGCCCCATGCATAGTCCTGTCCCGCCCTGCCCTGGACGGATTAGTCATTGTCAGTTGTGCTGCTCTTCCTTTTAAAATTTCATTCTTAAAAGTGTCCCTTTTGAAAAAATGCTCGGAACTCCCTCCCCTTCCCTGTCGTCATCATCCACAAGGTGCCTTGCTTCTTGCCCCATGCACTGTCCCATCCTGCCTTGCTTCTTGCCCCATGCACTGTCCCATCCTGCCTTGCTTCTTGCCCCATGCACTGTCCCATCCTGCCTTGCTTCTTGCCCCATGCACTGTCCCATCCTGCCTTGCTTCTTGCCCCATGCACTGTCCCATCCTGCCTTGCTTCTTGCCCCATGCACTGTCCCATCCTGCCTTGCTTCTTGCCCCATGCACTGTCCCATCCTGCCTTGCTTCTTGCCCCATGCACTGTCCCATCCTGCCTTGCTTCTTGCCCCATGCACTGTCCCATCCTGCCTTGCTTCTTGCCCCATGCACTGTCCCATCCTGCCTTGCTTCTTGCCCCATGCACTGTCCCATCCTGCCTTGCTTCTTGCCCCATGCACTGTCCCATCCTGCCTTGCTTCTTGCCCCATGCACTGTCCCATCCTGCCTTGCTTCTTGCCCCATGCACTGTCCCATCCTGCCTTGCTTCTTGCCCCATGCACTGTCCCATCCTGCCTTGCTTCTTGCCCCATGCACTGTCCCATCCTGCCTTGCTTCTTGCCCCATGCACTGTCCCATCCTGCCTTGCTTCTTGCCCCATGCACTGTCCCATCCTGCCTTGCTTCTTGCCCCATGCTCTGTCCCATCCTGCCTTGCTTCTTGCCCCATGCACTGTCCCATCCTGCCTTGCTTCTTGCCCCATGCACTGTCCCATCCTGCCTTGCTTCTTGCCCCATGCACTGTCCCATCCTGCCTTGCTTCTTGCCCCATGCACTGTCCCATCCTGCCTTGCTTCTTGCCCCATGCTCTGTCCCATCCTGCCTTGCTTCTTGCCCCATGCACTGTCCCATCCTGCCTTGCTTCTTGCCCCATGCACTGTCCCATCCTGCCTTGCTTCTTGCCCCATGCACTGTCCCATCCTGCCTTGCTTCTTGCCCCATGCACTGTCCCATCCTGCCTTGCTTCTTGCCCCATGCACTGTCCCATCCTGCCTTGCTTCTTGCCCCATGCACTGTCCCATCCTGCCTTGCTTCTTGCCCCATGCACTGTCCCATCCTGCCTTGCTTCTTGCCCCATGCTCTGTCCCATCCTGCCTTGCTTCTTGCCCCATGCACTGTCCCATCCTGCCTTGCTTCTTGCCCCATGCACTGTCCCATCCTGCCTTGCTTCTTGCCCCATGCACTGTCCCATCCTGCCTTGCTTCTTGCCCCATGCACTGTCCCATCCTGCCTTGCTTCTTGCCCCATGCACTGTCCCATCCTGCCTTGCTTCTTGCCCCATGCACTGTCCCATCCTGCCTTGCTTCTTGCCCCATGCACTGTCCCATCCTGCCTTGCTTCTTGCCCCATGCACTGTCCCATCCTGCCTTGCTTCTTGCCCCATGCACTGTCCCATCCTGCCTTGCTTCTTGCCCCATGCACTGTCCCATCCTGCCTTGCTTCTTGCCCCATGCACTGTCCCATCCTGCCTTGCTTCTTGCCCCATGCACTGTCCCATCCTGCCTTGCTTCTTGCCCCATGCACTGTCCCATCCTGCCTTGCTTCTTGCCCCATGCACTGTCCCATCCTGCCTTGCTTCTTGCCCCATGCTCTGTCCCATCCTGCCTTGCTTCTTGCCCCATGCACTGTCCCATCCTGCCTTGCTTCTTGCCCCATGCACTGTCCCATCCTGCCTTGCTTCTTGCCCCATGCACTGTCCGATCCTGCCTTGCTTCTTGCCCCATGCACTGTCCCATCCTGCCTTGCTTCTTGCCCCATGCTCTGTCCCATCCTGCCTTGCTTCTTGCCCCATGCACTGTCCCATCCTGCCTTGCTTCTTGCCCCATGCACTGTCCCATCTTGCCTTGCTTCTTGCCCCATGCACTGTCCCATCCTGCCTTGCTTCTTGCCCCATGCACTGTCCCATCCTGCCTTGCTTCTTGCCCCTTGCACTGTCCCATTCTGCCTTGCTTCTTTTGCTCACTGCCCAAGACTGAACAGAAATGGGGCTCTTATTTTATGCTCTCCTGTTTTCATCCTCAAATTACCTTGTTTCAAGCAGCCCACCTGTCCTCCCCTGACAAGTCTGGCTTCTCGCCACTGTACATGCCCTGTCCTGCCCTTTCCTGTCCTCCTCCGCCCTGCCCTGCCTGCCTCTATGGCACAACAGCTCTGGAGGTGAAGGCAGATGCAGAAAACGCGCTCCCACATATGCATACGCTTGTGAAATCCCCTTTCCTCTTCTTCCTCCTCCCTTTCTCCCTCCCACCGCAGCACTTTCTGCGTCACCTGGCCCCGCTGTAGCACAACATGACTCTCGAAATGAAGCCTGATCCGGTGGCTGACAAGGCTGCACGTATGCAGATATGCCGCTCCTCCCCTTCTCTTCTCCCCTCCTCCCCCCTGTTCCTGCCCTCTCCTCCCCCCAGCACTTGCTGCGTCGGCTGGCACCACTCTGGCACAACGTGACTCTCGAAATGAAATCAGATCCGGTGGCTGATAAGGCGTTTGGATGGGTGCTGGAAATGTGTGTGAGTGGTGGGTGTGAGTGGTGCGTGTGAGTGGGGTGTGTGAGTGGGTGTGTGTGACTGCATGTGGTGTGTGTGAGTGGGTGTGTGTGAGTGCAAGTGGTGTGTGTGAGTGTGGTGTTGTGAGTGCATGCACAAGTTTGTGTGCTTTATAGGGAACAATCACACCCTATTGCCATCTCTCTTTCCTTGTCGCTTCATTATAAATATTCTCAAAATGCTCCCTGTTTCCCCTCCCGTCACTTCTCCTTTTTTCTCCCTCCTCATCCCCTTCCTCCCCTTCTCTCTTCCTCCCCTTCGTGTCCCCTTCTTTTTCCCCCTCCCCTTCTCCCCCATCTCCTCCAGGTACGGATATGCCACGTCAGCTGCCCTCTTGGGGATACAGCACACTCTACACCGGATGTGGATGATTCAGGTGGGTATCCGCATGCTTCAGGTGCTTTCGCAGATCATTCGCAGAGCATAATCATTCGGCATGCTTCAGGTGGTTACGCGGATGTTTCAGGTGTTGTGTGCAGAGTTCAGGTTGTTATTTGCCTCGTTCAGGTGGTTCAGAGGATATTCATTCGGCTATGTGCATTATTATGGCAGCAGTGCCGCTGCTATTGCTTCCTTTGTGTACCAAGTGGAAGCAAACTGACACCCCAGGCTGCTTCCACTGCTAGTGCAGTGGAAGCAGGAATTGTGCTGGTGCAGTGTGGTACATGAAGCTGTCTCCTTTTGTAACTCATCTCTCACTCGTTGCGCATACTTTTCCTTGTTTTTCTCCCAGATTCACAAATCACTTGCTGTTCTGCGATTGCTGCTGCCTGACTTGACTTTCCACCTCCCTCGCTTGACCTTTGTTTTCTCACCATTTTCTCTCGACCCCTTCCTAGCGTGGTGCATGATGCATGGTGGATGTTGCACGGTGCATGGTGCATGGTGCATGGTGCATGGTGCATGGTGCATGGTGCATGGTGCATGGTGCATGGTGCATGGTGCATGGTGCATGGTGCATGGTGCATGGTGCATGGTGCATGGTGCATGGTGCACGGTGCATGGTGCATGGTGCACGGTGCATAGTGCATGGTGCACGGTGCATGGTGCTGCATGGGTGGGCACACCATACTGCATGCGGCAGCCGCCATGGGATGCAGAGCCTGGGGACTCATACCTTATCCACTACACATACGGCTGTGACTTCGACCTTAATGTATGTGACTACCAATTCATGCATGCATTTGTGATTCCAACTTGAAATTGACGTTCTTGTATCTTCTCATGTTATGCATCTGAGCTGAGAAGTCTTTTTTTTCCACCAAAAATGTAATGCGACTATCGCATCTGGGCGACTGTTTGACTGCATCAAGATCACATCTCTTGTTGGGAATCTCTGGATCAGGTCAAATCAATGCCACGACATTACGTTGAACGACCTTTTTTTTTCTTTCTTTTTTCTTTTTCTTTTTTTTAAATCTTTTGGCATCATTTCATTAATGCCCTGGTGAAGTTGCCAGATTATTGTCAAATCTCTGCAAAATCCCAATCAAACTGTGAAGCGCTCTATAATGCCTGCCTGCCCTTTGGCATCTCTTCTTTTGCCTGCCTGTTTCTCTCGGCACCTCATTCCTCTTCTTCCATTCAAGTGCAAGATGACCCGAAATGTGGTGGATTTATGACAGTTTGACAAGTTTGGCATGGTTGGAACGTTTCTCTTAGTCATCTCAAACGTCTTTGCTTACCTGATTCTCCTCGTATCCTTCCCACCCTCATTTCAGGGCAAGATGACCCCAGGGGTGGTGGGTCCATGGCACTTTGACAAGAGGGACTTCAACACAGCACCCCCTCGCAATCTCTCCCTCCCACCCAAAGGAGCTGCTCCCTCCGTTGTAAGCACTAGCTGCATGTCCTTGCAAACCCAACTTTCTCTACCGGTATGTGTTGCAGAATCCATCACTGCAATGTTTTTCCCTTGTGTTTAGGCATTCTTCGACGAACCATTGATCTGTCACACGATTTATTGATGAATCTCTGCGTGAGGGAGTGTTTTTGTTCATATCTGCTCTGGTGCCGCGCTTCTTAACCAGCACTGCAAGAGCTGTCCCTTTCTTCATGGTTCTTTTTTTTTTTTTTTTTCAGTTCAAGCTGGTTTCCATGATAAACGATGCCACATGGAGCATTCCAAATTGGAGGGCAGGAGCTCCCTAGGTGCTGCTGTTCCTGGATGGTCTCTATGGATGCCGCTGGTGTTATTTCGTTCATGCAGTGCTAGCAGATATGGTTTTATTACACAAACGTACAGAAGTTTTATCCAATTTATTACATTGAGCAGTATATAATGTACACAAATGGCCATCCAGATTCTCTGGTTTCTGTCAAAATGAAGAATGGATGATGCATTGATGTTGGTTGGGGTACATATAGCTAACCCTAAGTTTTGTACCCCCTAAGACAAACCTCACTATAGGCTACAACATTTGACACACCCCCATAGCCTAAGTGAGGGGTGTCTAGCAGAACCAAACGAGTACGGTCACAAGACCAGTCCAAGAAACGAAGCTCAGGGTGGATCACAACGTCACCACACAGTCTGAGCACAAACAACAGTGGCCACAAGGCCAGTCCAAGAAGTAACAGAGATATATAGAAAGCAAAGTAAACAGTACACTCAAGTCTAAGCAACACGAGAACCAGTGTCAACAAGGCCTAACTGCACACAGCACCTCTGGTGGTCACAAGGCGGAAGCGCCTTGGTGAAGATGTCTGCAGTGTTGGCCTCGGACTCCACAAACTCAAAGCGAGCCTGTCCACGCCTCTGCAACTCTCGCAGAAGAAAGTACCTGACGTGAATGTGCTTCACTCTGCTCTCCAGTCGTGGCTCTCGACAAAGGAGAATAGACGCCTTGTTGTCAGTGAACAAGGTCGGTGCAGAGCTCGGCCGCTCACCAAGGTCGGTGAGCAAGAAGGTCAACCAACGCAGCTCCTGTGCCGCCATGGCACCAGCGTAGATCTCAGCCTCAGCTGTAGAGGTCGAGACCGAAGAGGAGCGCGTGGACCGCCAGGAAACAGCTCCAGAACCCAGGCTGAAACAGTACCCCTGAGTAGACCTGTGAGTCTCAGCGTCGTCAGCGTAAGAGGAGTCACAGTGACCAGTAAGTACGACAGACTGCTGCCCTCCAAGAACTAGCCCCACGCCTGATGTCGTCGCTAGGTACTTCGCCACCCTCACAGCTGCTGTCCAGTGAACAGGACGGTGTCTCCCTGGCGCAACAAAGCGCGCAAGAACGCTGAGAGGGAAGGCGAGGTCCGGGCGAGTACAAGTCATCAGGTACATGAGGCAACCCACAAGCTCTGCGTAGGGACCACTAGGCTCGAACGGCTCGTCAGGAAAGGGTCCAGTGAGTCTGTGGTCAACAGCAAGAGGTGTGCGCTGTACTGTGGAGTGCTGAAGCCCGAACCGCTGAAGGACCTGCTGCACCATGTGTGACTGTGAAAGTGTAATGGTGCGAGCAGCTCTGTCCCTAGTGATCTGCAGGCCAAGGTAGTGGCGCAGCTCACCAAGATCAGTGCAGGTGTGTCTCTTCTGCAGTTCGGACTTCACGTGTGCCAAAGCAACCCTGTCAGGGGTGGCGAAAACAAGGTCGTCAACGTAGACCAGAACAAAGAAAGGTGTGGGGCCACGACGAACGAACAGCGACGGGTCAGCAGAAGACGGCTGGAACCCAAGGTCAGAGAGGGTAGAACGCAGGGTGTCGTGCCACTCACGAGGAGCCTGACGAAGACCGTAAACTGGTCGCCTCAGCCTCCACTGGGTCCCAGGAGGGAAAGAGCCAGTGAAGGCAGAGGGACGACGCAACCAGACCTCCTCGTGAAGACTGCCCTGAAGGAAAGCAGTAGAGAAGTCGAGAGAGTGTAACTCGTAGTCTCTCTGTGCTGCTACGTGTAGTAACACCCGAAGAGTGGTCATCTTCGGGGTGGGCGCGAAGGTCTGAAAGAAGTCAACTCCCTCGCGCTGACTGAAACCTCTAGCCACGTAGCGCGCCTTGAAGACCGGAGGAGATCCCGGTGGCCGCTTCACCCTGTAGATCCACATGCCGTCGACTACGTTCGCCCCCGGAGGGGGAACCTCATCGACGTAGGTGCCTGTGGATCTGTAGGAGGCCATCTCTGCGTCCATGGCAGCTCTCCACTGAGAGGCCCAAGGCCCTGACACTGCCTCAGCGTAAGTGCGAGGAGTCGGAATGTCAAGGGCGTCGGGGTCACCCTCAGGGGCGAGGAGCATGGCACAGAGATGAGGGGAAGCGGCCGCCAGGAACTCTAGCTCAAACTGCCTGTCCTCTAGGGCGTCACAGCCAAGGGCAGACACACCCCCGACGGCCAGAGGACTGGAAGGAGGAGCAGCCACAAGAGCGGTGGCGAAGTCAAGGCGGCGGGTAGAGGCAAACTCAGTGATTGCGGCAGTAAGAGCGGACACAGAGGACACAGAGGCACGAGGGTGGGTAACAAGAGAGGCGAGAACACGAGAGAGAACAGGACGGTACGTGCGGTAGTAGTCAGTGACAGGAGAAGGAAGCGACACAGTGAGGGCCGACTCAGGAGGAGACGGAAGCACAGACGGAGACGGACGAGGTGGACGAGAACAAAGGAAGGCTGTACGAAGGTCAGTGAAGGGAACAGGAGACGAGGGACGAGCACGAGGGGAGCGACGAGAGGCCCAAGTCTGAGAAGGAGGAGGAGACAACGAAGACTGAGAACGAGGGAAAACAGCGGGAGAGGGGTCAGGAGGAGGAAGCGGAGGACCAGAGACGGGAGGAGAGGGGGAGGAGGAAGGAGAGGGAGACGGGAGACCAAGGGTCCGAAGACCCGAGACAGGAGGAGGAGACGGCAGCAGCTGCTGCTGCTGCTGCTGCGGCTGCTGCGGCTGCTGCTGCTCCAGCGGCTGCTGCCCCTGCTGCTGCTCCTGCTGCTGCTCCTGCTGCTGTCGCTCCTGCTCCTCGAGCCGCTGCAACTCTCTCTCCTCTCTCTCCAACTCCAGCTGCTCCTCACGAGCACGGCGAACACGAGCCTGGAACCTGGTCGGGTAGGGGTGGGGGGAAGGAGTAGTGTCCGGGGCAGCGGCAGCCCCAGAGTCGACCTCCGAAGCACCAAGCACACCACCCCCAGAGGCAGCAGCTGGCTCCAGGGTCGGGGCTGCGTCAGACCCAGCGCGGTGCTGTTTACACTCCCTGCACCTACCAGGTTCTGACAGGCACTCGTCGTGGCCACCCTTGTGGCCGGTTTCACCCCCCTGGTCAGTGCTTTGCTCAGCTCACTGACACGGTTCGTTTGGTCTACGGGGTTGGTGCTCCTGCCCCTGACTGGCTGCCTCTTGTTCAGCGTTACGGCTCCGCTCTGTGGGGCATGTCTGCTGAGCAGTTAGTTGATCTGATTGGTAATCCCCATGCTATGTATGCTGTTGTTGACTCTAGTGTTTCTGACTCTGTTTACTCTGGTGTTGTTAGCTTAGGTGCTAGTCTTGCTCAGTTGCCTGTTGCTAGTGTAGGTTCTTGTGTAGACTCTAGTCCAGCGGCTACCTCAGAGGACGGTTCGCTGTCGTTCACGCTGGACTCTGGAGCCTCTCACTGCTTCTTTCGTGACAGCACGACACTTACGCCTCTTCCTGCGCCTGTTTCTGTGGCGCTGGCTGATCCCACTTCGGGACCAGTCACCGCGCGTCACACTACCACCTTGCCGTGTCCGGCTGCTCCTTCTGGGTCTCTCACTGGGTTTCACGTCCCCTCGTTCTCCCGGAACTTGGTGGGCGTGCGACCCCTCGTGAGTCAGCACGTGGGTGTGTGGTTTGAGCCTTCTGGAGAGACTGCGGTGTGTGTTGACGGGGACTCTTACCAGCCCCTCGCCACTTTTGCTGCTGAGCCGGGCTCCGGTCTCTACACTCTTCACACTGGCCCGCGCGCTCAGCAGCGACTGCAGCAGCAGCAGCAGCCGCAGCAGCAGCCGCAGCCGCAGCCACAGCCGCCCCTCCTGCCCCCGGCCGGGGAGGGCGAAGCGACGGGGGGAAGGGGCGGGCGCGACGGGACAGGGGGAGGGCGACGCGACGGGGGGAAAGGGGGGGCGCGACGGGACAGGGGGAAGGCGACGCGACGGGGGGAAGGAGCGGACGCGACGCGACGGGGGGAGCGCGACGCGACAGGGGGAAAGGGACGGGCGCGTCTCGAGGGGGGGGAAGGCGACGCGACGGGGGGGCGGTAACAGCTGGAACGATACGAACGAGAGCGTGGGTCGTTGCTAGGCTCGGTAACAGCTGGAACGATACGAACGAGAGCGTGGCTCGGCGCTAGGCTCGGTAACAACGAGAAGGAGACGAACGAGAGCTAGGATCAGGCTCGGGTGGTACGAACGGAGAACGGCGGAACGGGATCCCACAGGATCCTAACCTAACTGATACCATGTCAAAATGAAGAATGGATAATGCACTGATGTTGGTTGGGGTACATATAGCTAACCCTAAGTTTTGTACCCCCTAAGACAAACCTCACTATAGGCTACAACATTTGACAGTTTCAGCCATGCTAGCACCTAGCTACTTCTGCGAGCTATCCAGCTACCTCTGGTTCCGGTCACAACTCCTACAAAAACACCCAAAGGTCCTAGTACTGCCTCAGGGCACCACTGATTCTCCTGAGAGTGACCCGGCTGCTAGAGCCGGTTATCCTCCGCCTGGCTCCAAACCTGCCGATGCCAAGGGAGATGCCTGACGCTGCAAGCGCCTCCCTCTCCTCCTCCTCTTCCTCATCCATATACAGCTGATTCATGTAGCACATTGTTCTAGTCCCAAGGGTCCTGAAACTTTGCTTGCTACTGCCATCCTCTTCCTCCTCTTCCTCCCCATCATCACACCCAAACAACTGGTTCGAGACAAACCATCCCTCCTCCGCCTTCCCAAACCCCTTCACCTCCATGCTCCATCCATTTCCACTGCTGCTAAGGCCTTCACCGACCCTTCTCTTCAGTGAGTTTTCCTCAGCTGCCAAGAGCTCATTGAAGCCAGTGGGCTTCAAACCGAAATGATCAGCAGTGAACAGAGAGCGTCCCTTCTTAATGCTAGAATCGCCTTGGCCAATCCCCCTCTTCACACCAGCAACCTCCGCCGTCAAGCCAGTGGGGCTGCTGCAGAGGCTGTGAGCGGAGGAGAAGGAGGAGTAGGAGGAGTCCGAGGTGAGGTGGATGAGACAAGCACTGCGGCTGCTGCAGCTGCTCTCACTGCGAATTAAGCTGCACCACCCGCTGCTCGCCTCTGCTTCCACCTTCCCACTCTGCTGCGCCTCTGATCCGGTTTTCACACCCAACCAGGCCGCGACCTTAGCTGAGGAGGCAGTAATCTTAGCAACTGAGTCAACTGAGGAGGTACGTGACGGAATTGAGTCATCTTGAGCAAGCAGCTCCAGGAACGAAGTGGCTTTCTTCTTCAGCTCCTTCGGTCCCTCCGCTTCCTCAGCCTCCTCTGCCTCCTCAGCTTCCTCAGCTTCAGTCAAAACGGCAGCAGTCACAGTTGAAGCTTCCACAGTCACGGCTTCCAGTTCTGCATCTGTTGATGCAGCCTCTTCCAAAAGAGTGACAACAGGAAGAGCAGGAACCGACTTCACCTCCGCTGCTGCTTGCTCGCACGGCCTGATCCAACTGGAGACAGCCTGCACGAGAAAAAAGAGAGAGGTTAGCTGTTGTTTACGAGAAACGTCATGACATAACCAGAAAACTACCGATTTTACACATGGACAAAACATTGCTCGTACGCAAGACGAGGGTTTGCAAAAACTGAAGCGAATGGCTGGGAGGAGTGGTTCTTACCAGGCATGGAGCTGCGATCATGCTGCAAACGAGGCGAGTGAGGGAGTCATTCTGCTCCCAGCAGCTCGCGAACAGAGCGTCGACGTCCACGCGGGCAATCTCAGCACCGATGCAGGCCATTTTGCTGACGGACGAGTTAGGAAGGAAGGCTAAGGCTTCCGCGTCAGAGCTTGTACGCGAGATTATGAGCACTCAAGCAGGCTTAGACAGCTGGTAGTAACGAAGGAGCAAGGTAGGAGAACTTGCAAGTAGCTTCAATGAAATGGAGATTCTGAAGGCCTACTTATACTATTTCCGTCTGGTGGGTTCAGCGACTCTGATGAGCGAGTAAGAAGCGAGTGCAAGCGAGCGAGCGAGGGAATGCGACGAGAGGCACGGGAGGGGTAGGAGTGTGGCAAGGGGAGTGAGGCATACAGAGGGGAACCTGCCGATCGTCGCCCTGGGCGAACTCGCAACGCCTGAGGGTGGGCTTGCGAGTGCTCGCGACGATCGGAGCCCATCGCGACATGGTCGGCTGGCCTTGGGAGTGTGGGGGTGTTGCGCGAGCCTCCATTGGAGACGATTCAGAGAGCGACACGTGTTGCTTATGTGCCAGCGAGATGGGGTGGTCTGGAAGCGCGTACTGCTCGAGTATCCGCCGCAACCGGGAGTACCGAGCGGCACGAGAATATTTAGAAGGCGGGAAAGAGGTTAGGTTTGTACGCCGACGAAAGTCTCGGCATAAGCGATACGGTTCCCCTAACCTAGTTCCTAGGCCTAGAGATTTGCGGAATGATGAGTGTATGGGTCGAGTTTATGACCAAGCTTGGACGTCAGGTACGGGAGTGAGGTATGGTGGGAGGCGTAAACGGTGGGAGGGGAGCGGTGAAGTCGAGGGTGTTTGTCGGGCCTGCGATTTTCTGTGGTTCATTTGGAAGTAAGAGTTCATGCCAACAACAATATAGGTTCTGGTAAGAGTTCATGACAACCACATTATTGACCCAATCAGCAAGTTTGCAAAATTATTTCAATTTATGACAGGAGATGAGCAAACATGAATATTGGGGAATTTTGAAATAATTAACAAATATATAGCGGATAATTTGGATGCATTAATGCATTTGTGGCAGTAATAACTGTTGTAATCCAGTTTCTCTGATTCCATGCACAACTCCTGTTCCAACTAACACCATCTTCTTTCCTTTCCAAGTGTCTCAGTGAATCACTTAAGAATTCCTGACCTCTAGACTGCATCTGCCGTATGGTACTTTAGGTGCCTCCACAACCGGTCGTGGTTTTCTAAGCGGAGCGCTAGCCCCTCCTCTGGCTATCCTTCCCTAGAGCGACAGCACTTCCCTAGTAGGTAGCTAGGCCGCCAGCAGCACCTCTGAGTAGTGTATGAAGGCTCAGAGTGATCTCCACAAAGGTAGCTTGGTAGCAATAGGTTGGGCAACAGTATTCTCATTAATTGTGCCGATATAACCAAGAATCAAGTAGATAGGATAAGATCTGTTAAGTCTGAGAGGAGACAGTAAAGTCTCTGTAGTGACCTTGTTGAATAATAGTTGAAGGAGAACAAGATGAATGAAAGATGGGAGTACAAGAGATTAAATAGAAAAACTAGCTAGCCATGTACTCTGAGGGGTACATTCCCTTATTAACTGTATTGCATAGCTACAGTAACCACGACTATTGCCATTCTCGACAGTTACCATGTTGCAGCGAACAACTGTCGCGCGGTTACTGGGTGGTCAAGGGTCACGACCGTTGACTTCTCTCGACGGTTGACCTTCGGGTGACCCTCGACCTTCCGCGTGCTCTATATGAGCTAATGCGGTACTGGTACAGTTAAATATCTTCAGGAATGCTTATAACCTTTCGGTTATTCCAACACTCCCCTTCATTCCTGAAGGTGAGCCACGTGGGATTTCTTGGTGATCCCGCAGAGGTTGGCAGAGTGCTGGTACTGCTGTCGTGGCAATCTCTTCGTCAGGAAATCTGCTGCCATGTCACCGGTCGGGCAGTACGTGAGTTTGACTCTCCCCTTGTCGATTTCGTCCTTCACGAAGAAGTAGCGAAGGGCGATGTGTTTGGTGCGGTTGACGAAGCCGGGTTTGTTCGCGATTTTTATCGCGCTTTGGTTGTCGCAGAGTAACGTGAAGTGCCCGTTCATCGTCACTTTCGCTTCTTGCAGAAGTTCCATCAGGTACAGTCCTTCGCGAACAGCTGCGCTGGCTGCGATGAATTCTGCTTCAGCTGACGAAAGAGCGATGAGTTCTTGCTTCTGAGAGTTCCAGGAGATGAGTCCAGCAGGTTGGAGTTGGAAAATGAATCCTGTGCGGGAGCGTCCGTTGTCAACATCTCCTGCATGGTCAGCGCCTACGTAGCCATGTAGCTGCAGGGTGGCCGTTAAGTTAGCTTCGTAGGTGAGACCGACGTCGGGAGTAGAGACGAAGTATTGAAGTGTTCGGTGTAGATCTAGTAGATTCTCCCCTTCAGGTCGCTTCAGGTACTGTGCGAGCTGGCTTGCGACGTAGGAGAGATCGGGCCGGCACGTGACGGCGGCGAACAGGAGACATCCCAGCTGCTGCTGATAGAGACGATGATCGTCGGAGGAGAGGGGTGTGGTGTCTGGCGCGTGGTTGGGAGGAGGAGTGCGGTAAGGGGTGGTGAGGTTGATTGGTGCGATGGCGAACCGCTTCGCGAGTGTTTCGGCGTATTTGGCGGCGGAGAGATGGATGGAGGAGGCGGACTGAGTCACATTGAGGCCTAGGAACTGGGTGACGTTGTGGTTGACCGTCACTTCGAGTTTCGCCTTGATGTTATGTCAGAATGTTATTATCTAGCCTGTAGTGGGGTGCTCTATAGCGAGTACAACCCAGTTAGGGTTTGCTATATGTACCCCAACTGCTGCTAGTGAAACCTCTCCTTTCTTCATTCTTGTTTTTGACTTCGTGATTTTGTCATGTCAACCTCGAACTGGTCCAGGAGCTCCGTGTCGTCGTCCCCGGTGTAGAGGAGATCGTCGACGTAGGCGACGAGAAGAATGAATTTGCCGCGCGATTCCCGTCTGTACATCCCGAGGTCGTGCGGAAGCTGGGTGAAGCCGAGCTCGATGAGAACGGTATGGAGATACTGCTGCCACAGACGAGGTGCCTGCTTGATCCCGTAAAGGGACTTTTGGAGAAGACACACAGCGCCGTCGCTTTCTTCGAATGCGTGCGGCTGCTCGACGAAGATGATGGCGTCGACGGGAGCGTACAAGAAGGCGATGCCAACGTCGATTTGTCGGAGCGGTCGCTGTTTGACGGCCGCGATGCAGAGGAGAATGCGCTGTCAGAATGTGATGGTTGTCTAGCCTGCAGTGGGGTACTCTATAGCGAGTACAACCCTTCTAGGGTTTGCTATATGTATCCCTATGCTTGTTAGTGAAAACCCTTCTTGCCTGTTTCTCGTTTTGGCCTAGCATTTTGACATGCTATCAGAGCGGGTCGACCCTCCTGGGTCGATCCTGTGGGTGGGCCCGCCACCTAACTGCTTCCGCTGCTGTTCTGCTTCTCGCGCGCCTCGGGCGCGCGCCGTCTTCCGCGCACGGCGAAAAATTTTAGGGTTTTTCATCCCGCCGTGCGCTCGGGGCGTACGGCGGTTTTCTGCCCGCCGTGCGCCCCGAGGCGCGCGGCGGTTTCCTGCCCGTCGTGGCGCCCCCGGGGACCTGCGCGCTGCCCCCCGTCGTCCTCCTCCCGTCGCCTCGTCGCGGCGCCCTGGAGACCCGCGCGCCGCCCCCTCCCGTCGCCTCGTCGCGGCGCCCTGGGGGCCCGCGCGTCCCCCCCCTCCCGTCGCCTCGTCGCGGCACCTTGGGGGCCCGCGCGTCCCCCCCCTCCCGTCGCCTCGTCGCGGCACCTTGGGGGCCCGCGCGCCGCCCCCTCCCGTAGGCGCCTTGGGGGCCCGCGCGCGGCCCCTCCCGTCGCCCGTCGAGCCGCCCTCGGGGGCCCGTGCGCGGCCCCCCTCCCGTCACCCGCCGTGGCGCCCTCGGGGGCCCCGCGCCCTGCTTCTTCGTGGCGCCCAGGAGATGGCCACCCCGCCGCCTCCCTTTCCCTCCGTGAACCGCCCCTGCTGTTTCCCGCGCTCCTGCCTGCGTTAGGGTTTGGGGGTGGCGGGCATGGGGGTGACCGGTGTGGGTAACCTGCAGCTCCTCCTCCTCCTCCGTCTCCCACTGCTGCAGCTACCGCTGAGGGGGGTGGGTGTGTGGGAGCCGAGGGTTTAGGGTTTAAGGGGGGTGACGTGGGAGTGGAGCTAGGGGTGCAGCAGGGGGTGTGTGGAAAGGAGGTGGGACTGTTTGGGGAGGCTGAGAGGAGGTAGCCGACTTGTCGTCCGCAGCGCCTGAAGTCCAGGGAGCCACGACCCCCTGTGGCCTGAGTAGTCCGGGGCTCTGCGCCCGGTAGCCACAGTGTGAGCACTCCTGGTAGTCCAGAGAGCCACGACCCCCTGTGGCCTGAGTAGTCCGGGGCTCTGCGCCCAGTAGCTACAGTGTGAGCAAACCTGGGAGCACAGTGAGCCAGCTGCGTCTGTCGCCGTGTAGTCCGGGTTTAGCCTGGTAGCGACAGTGCTGCGCACTCCTGCTGCCCGTGTGTCTGCAGCTTCGGCCGTCGCCTCCCATCTTCTCGCCCCTACAGTTTCTCCTCCTCCTCACGTGCCCTCTGTGATAGCCTCTAGCTTTGCTTATAATTGTGAACTATTGCTCTGCCTGCTTGCTGTGTTGATTGTACCCCACTTTGACTATGGGGGTGTGTCAGAATGTGATGGTTGTCTAGCCTGCAGTGGGGTACTCTATAGCAAACCCTTCTAGGGTTTGCTATATGTATCCCTATGCTTGTTAGTGAAAACCCTTCTTGCCTGTTTCTCGTTTTCGCCTAGCCTTTCGACATGCGCACCGAGGTGTGGCGGCCGACTGGTGCGTAGGTGAGGGTGAAGTCCACCAGGTGCGTTTGCTCAAACCCTCGCACCACCCATCGCGCCTTGTATTTGTCGATCGAGCCGTCCGCTAGGGTCTTGATGCGAAAGACCCATTTGGCGCTGAGAATTTTCCTCCCCTTCGCCGATGACCGAGGGACCAGCTTCCATGTGCCACGTTTGTTCAACGA